AATATTGCAGATACAGACAAGTTATATTCCAGCTGAGCACAATGTAACCTGTCAGCAAGGCGAAAAATAAAATCAGCATCTAAATATGCACAGTAAACACCTCCAACACCACCAATCACAGTTAAATGTGTTTGCCAGCGTATAAATCTTGTATTTGAGCTGCTTTTTTTTTGTTTTTCTCTCTGTAGCTACAGAAGAGAGTTTGAAAGACACGTCAGAGCCCACAGGTTCTCCAGCCCCGGTCATTCAGCACAGTTCTTTGGCGTCGAGCCCCTCCACAGGGCACAACGGCCTGAGCTCCAGGGCTGCGGCCGAGGCCATGGCCATGTCTGTTCTGGCAGGGATGGGCCAGCAGCAGAGGGCAGAGAGCGGACCCTCTCACATCATCGTAGCTGCACACTCTCATTCTGCTGCCAGATGATGAGCAGCGTCACCCGCTGGCCCCGGACTTGGCTCGTCACCCTGGGGAAGAAAAGACTCTCCGCCATCCGCAGCCTCCGAGTCCAGATTTCACGCCTCCTCCCTCATCCTTCTCACCTGTTTTAAATCCTCCTGCGGAGCCATGACGCTGTGGCCTGGAGCTCAGCGGCAGCCTTCTGGTAACGGACTGAGACTTTTAAAGGAGCTTCCTGTTCACTATGCCACAAACTACAGGGGCTGGACTCCAGTATCCCCCTCCCTTTTGGTCTTCCTGCTCATCCCTCCTGTCCCTCAGTCAGTATGACTCCTCATCAGACTAATGGACTGCATCAGGTGATCCACCTCAATGAACTTCATGTGAAGACGTACAGCACAGTTTCAAACGCAGTCGTTTCGTAAATATCCTAGATCCTACTGGATACAACAGGCTGGGCTTTATGTCGTTTTCAGCGTGGAGTAGTGCCTTGTGTTGCTAGCCTCTCGAGCCACGCTGATACCCACACACCCATCATTTCACTTCTCAATATTTCACTAAACATTCAACAAACGGTTCCAGTTTGATGCGATCTCAACACCGACCCAATAACCATCTCTCATATACACCCCTTTATGGTCAAATGCATTAAACGTGTGTGTGATTGTTTATTTTGTCAACTAAAACATATGCGTTTGCTTGCTTCCCATTTGATGCATTTGACTTATTCTGACATCCTAACAAAGGATGTGCAGCTATTTTCTAATCAACAAATCCTCTTAAATGAATCTAAAATACATTTTTGATAGCAGCTTTAAATTGGTTTAATTGTGAAGGAAATAGAGACTTTAGCGTCCTTTACATGTTTATTAAGAAAACAAGATGGATGTTGTAGTGGTTTGTAAGTTGGTTGCCTCTCTCTCTCTCTTTTTTTTTTGTTAGAGAAAATTTCTCTCATGACTGTTAGTGTGTGTGGGTCCAGGACTTCATATAACTGCTATTTTAACACTTCTCAGGATGGCTGAACATCCTTGCTGCTCGATGGAAGTGCGATGAACCCCTTTAGTCTTTTTTGCTCTTAAACCAAACCTTAAACTAAGCCATAAGTACAACAACAACAACAAAAAACAATCTGTGAATCTCCAAAGACCTCCTGGTACTTGTTCTGGGACAGAAAAAAACAAGCCTGAACTGTTGTTTTGTTACAGTGACTGAGTCAATAGTATATCAGTGCTTTTTTTCTTTTTTCTTTTTTTTCTTTTTTTTTTTTTGCACTTTGACACAATTTCACACACACACCACCATCTGATCTTTGTTGCCTTAAGATCACATTTGTGCCTCAGATTTTCCCACTAATATATAAAAGAAGTTGAGCCAATTTAAAAAAAACTACAATCTATTGAGGAAATATATATATTTATTTTTCCTTATTCTTTGATTATTTCTTCAGACTAACAACAGTCTACTCCCTACTAAAGGTTCCTCAACACTTTTTATTTTCTGTTTTGATCAGTTTGCTTTACTGAATGCAGACATTGCAGAACTCGTCTGTCATCTGGTGGAGAGTCATGGCAAGGACACGTTTGGCAAAAAAGCTACTTGTGGTTGTTTCTAAATGGCTCCAGTTCTTTAGAAATCTTACTAAGATATGTTACTAGATATCAATATATATATATATATTTTTGCATAAACACCGAAGCAAATTGTCTGTTTTTCCTTTTTTGTGCATTTCTGTTCCTGTTTTGTTCAATATGATTGTGTATTCGCAGGATACAATATTTCAAAAGCTTAATATTGGTTATTCTAACTACTTGTCTGTATGCACTAAACTAATGAGGGTTTATTGTTTAGTTTTCTGCTCATCTGTTCAGTTGTTTCCTCTTAATTTGTTTGTGTGACATCGGAAAACACATCAGAACTTTATTCACAACAGTTCTTCTATTGTTCATACTATACACATGGTTGGGAATTTGCCATTTACTTTAAAAACAAATTGTAACCTCCGACTGAACCTCTCGTCCTACAGTCCCAATGGTGACCCTGGCATTTTATTTTACTTGTTGGCCCTATATTCAGCCAACAGTCCCATATGGATAGTTTATATAAAATGAAATTAAAACTATATTTAGTGTTCATGTTTTTCATGTTGTTTGTTTAATTTGTGTGATGGGCACCTTCTCTGTCATTTTCCTTCCTCAACGCTTTTAATTGTACCGATGAATATACTCATTTCTTTAACAAAGACTTTGTTTCTCTGCAAAAACTGTGGACCCTTTTCAACAAATACCCCCATTCGTAAACTTTTACAGAAGAATTTGGTTCGTCTTTTGACTGTTCTTAACTAACTTATTTTGAATAATTGGTCAATTAGCATTTTTTTATTTCAGTCCTTGCCCTTTTACTATTAGAGTTCCTGTAAAAAGGACCATTTAAAAGGAAAAAATGCAACAACGTGTAAGTTGCACTTACAGTAGTATGTTAATAGTCTTTTACACTCCCATTGTCAGACTGATGGTATAAGAAAATACGTTGTACTGTACATATCTGTACTATATGAATATATTTACTTTTCCATGCATGTCCAAGTGGAATACCATGAACACTTAAAGTGCTGAAGTTTTAATTAAACAAACTACATCCTAATGGATGGTCTGTGACTGAAATGTTTAATTAATTTATTTTAGTGGTGTCAGTTTGTCARGTGTTTAGACTCAATCTGGATGTTGAGTAATTTTCTTTTTTCTGAATGTCAGTAACTCAAACAGCAGCCATTGTTTGTGATATTTTCAGCTTGTTTTGACGGGAACCCYGACTAGTTGTAACATTAAACATATTTGATAAATATTTACTTCAACTGTAAAACAGACTATAAAAATACTGTAGTTTTTATAAATTAATAAGATATATTTTCATACCAACTGCAACACTGTATTAATGCCGCAAAGCATCCCGAGTGAATGATGATGTGAGTTCTAATTGGAAAAAGGAGAAATCCCTCGTCTAAAATACACACTTTGATTTGATTTGATTTATTTATTTAACAGGAAAAGATTATTAAAAATCAAGCCTGACTCAGCATAATTGCTGTTTTACAGCAGGTTCCTGTTCTGCAGCACATAAAACACTCAGAATTACAGCATCACAATCACATCATTATACACCATAGACACAAAGACAAACAAGCATACCAAATTTCAAAAAGGCAGCATTTGCAAAATAGGACGTCTAAATTTGAGCACAACAAAAGGTGTCCAGCAGACGGCAGACAAGATTCTTCTTARAGGGCTGTAGTTTTGAAATGGACTTTATGTTTTGAGGAAAGTCATCCCATGCTTTAGTATAAACATAGAAGAAACCTCTGGCTGTAACAGTTTTTAAAAGTTGGTAATATCAGTTGTCCTTTTGTAACAGATCTAGTTGAATGACCACTTCCAGAATTTGATTTGGGCAGCAATGCACAGAGAGTTCCATAATTGGCACCTTGGAAGATCTGAAAATATAAATTAATACCACTATACAAAACATAATTCTGAAAAGTCAAGGCATCAGACAATGAAAGAACTGTACAGTGATGAGTCCAACCAGGAAGTTTTTTTATGAATTTTGTAGGCCCTGTTGTAGAGCCTAACTATGGGTTCTAAGATTTCATTTGTTGTAAGAGACCAAACAGGTAAACAGTACGACATGGKTGAGAGTATAATGGCATGAAGATAGATATTTGAAACAGAAGATGTCAGATTGGATCTAATTTTTGAATAAACGTTTAATTTCTGTTTCAACTTAGTGKTTAAGACTTGTACATGATCACGATAARTCAAATGAGAATCCAAAGTAATTCCAAGATATTTGTAGGTAGTGACAATATCAAGGGGTTTGTTTAAAAAAGTGAGTTGATTTGTTATATTGAAATGTCTCCTGGGTGAGGAAAAATACATGCACACAGTTTTTTTTAACATTAATTGACAAAAGATTATCTTGAAGCCAACAATGAAATGTCTGAAGATCTGCTTGTAACTGACTATTAATAGATTCAATATTGAAAGCAGACAAAAAAAGAACAGTATCATCAGCATACATTAAAATATTTGAATACTTCAATATTTTTGGAAGGTCATTTATGTATAATAGGAAATGCAATGGGCCCAGAATGCTACCAAGAATCACAAACTCTTTTGATTTTATGCCTTTTATAATGTCAGTGAGCCGTGCTACATATTTAGTTGAATTAACACTTGGAGGTTCATATGTAACAACAACCGTTATTGAAAGGTGATTTGTAAGCTTGATTTCTAATTGCAGAGATTCAGACTCAGTTGACAATTTTGTTATAGAATGTGAGTATCTCTTGTGAACATAAACTGCAGAAACAAAACATCCTGTTGTATAAAAGTTTTTTTTTTATAGTTTTCACATTCATTACATTTGGTTGAAAACTGGCCTGACGGTTGTTTCCAGCTTTGTGGAGGCTTTAAGCAAAATGCTGTTTGGGCTCCCTAGTTTGTCAAACTGATGAAAGAAATCCTTACCCTTATAGTGTCCACTAAGACTCCCCATCTATTACACTTCATGAGCAACAGACTACAGTTAAGATTAAACATCTTAAGTCAGAGGTCTCCAACCAGTAGCTCRTGAGCTCATTTAAAGTAGCTCTTCAGTGCTTGTGAAAAACTAGGCAAAGCAAAATTTTGTCACTGACCAAACAAATTTTAATTTAATTCCAATCAATCTATAGATGTCCCTGCCCCTTGGTTGTCAATCAAACAGTTTGGGGCTCAGTATGGTCGATTGGCAGACAACACGCAATGCATGGTTGTTCGGCATTCATTTTTGCACACACCTTTCATAGCCCCTGAGACACACTATGCCAAACTGTTGAGAAACCTCTCCYGCTGCAGTAAATGTCCCTACAGGGGGGTTCTTCCCGCTGGAGTGTACAATGTGGAGAAAAAAAATCAGAGACCGGTCACCCAATGTTATTTGTGCACAAATCTGTTGCAGTTAAACCCTTATTAGTTAGTGTGAAATACTAATAACTAATATGAATGGATAAACACAAAAAGCACATTCATGTAAATTCAGTGTATTTTGTGATAGTGATGTGAACCGAAGACAATGTTTTTTTGTGTGCAAAACAAGCTTATTCTAATGGTTTAAGATTAAATTTAAATGTTGCAAGAAGTAGCTCTCGGACAATTTCATTTTGTGAAAGTAGCTCTTATGGAGATAAAGGTTGGGGACCCCTCACTCATAAGTGAACCTAAGTTTTTCAGTCCTTCTGTCATTAATTTTTGTCCCTCTTTTGTAAACAACTTGCATCAAATGAGGCAAAAGGGCATTGTGTTTTTGGATGAATTGAAGAAAGCTGAGGGCCAGTCAGCTGGATCTACAGGTTTACCAAAAATGGGCAGCTGACCATGTAAAGGTGCAGATGAAGATGACAGTGCTTGTCCTGAGGAATGTGGTGATCCTCCTGACTCCTGGGTCATCCTGGTCAGGAAGTTCAGGAGCTCCCTCTGGCTCAACATCTGGAGCTCCAAAATGTTTTAGAATTGCTCTTGCAAAGACAAAGCTCCCTAAGTCATCAAGAAAATATATTACGTGAACATACTCCTATTTTATAGCTAATTATTATGATGTTGCAATAATACTGAAAAACTATTTATAAACACCATGATGTTTAGTGTCCCTTAACAACTTGTACCAATTACAAAGTTGTCACTTAGGAGTTTATTTTATTTTTTTCATTAATTTACACATGGCAGAGCAGACTACTCAGGCTAATCAATAACTCTTACTTGTCTACAGTGAGGGAGAGACTGACTGGTTGTTTGTCTCTGTGGTCCTGTGATAGACTTGCAACCTGTCCCCATCCCTCTCACAAAAGATAAGATGAATCGATGAACTTGACAATTTGTGTCCGTGCAGCTCTTCGTGTGTGAAAAGAGTTGCGTTTCTGCGGCTCGGCCAGCAGAGGGCGCAGTGGTTTTCCGTGACACAGTCGGCTCGGATGCTGGGAGGCGAAGCAACACAACAGAGAAGAGGCGAGGTGAGGCCCGTCACGTGACCGCACGTTGCCGTTGGTGAGTTTTTCCCCATTATGGCGGAAGGGCAAGCCGTGCGGATGGGCCGTCTCTCCCACTCCGGCGCTTGTTTTGTTTCTTGAGGAAGGTTTTTTTTTTTTTTAACTTTTACATTTTTTTTACCACATCTAAGCAGCAGCCTGGGTTCTTTTCAACTAGACTGTTTTTAAGTTTCTCGTCGGAACCATGGCAGACCGCGGCGTTGATTTGTCCGCCCTGCCAAAGGAGGTTAGAGACCATTTGGCGGAGTTGGATCTGGAGCTGTCTGAAGGTAAAAAAAAAAAAAAAAAAAAAAGAGGAGAGTGGGGCTAACACGAAGCTGATGATGATGGGGGGATGCTGTATTGTCGCTTAAGCTTTCTGGGCCTACCGGCTTCAATTAAAGCACCACTTTTTAATTCACCTGCTCCACTTTTATCTGTAAATGGACCGGATGAGCACACGTCAGACGGTTCGGGCTTGTTTGTTGCTAATAGGATCTGGGTTCTACGAGCTAGCAGTGCGTGACAAGCGGCATTGTGCAGGAGGTGATACCCCTTTCATCCATTTCTCCCCCTGCGTCCTTTATCCCGTTAACCATAACGTTAATTCAGACACATTTGTCAAGAACAAACACTTCCTTTGTAATTTCACATGGTTGTGTGTTGCTGTCTTAACACTTAAGGTGGCTACTGGCGAGGTTTCTCTCATGTCATTTTTAATTTTTTCACCTTATCCCTCTTTGATCCCACGGTGGTCCTGTTGAACGTCATCCAAGCCTCTGCCAGGGTGTGTGTGTGTGCTGAAGTTTCCGTTTAAGACACGTTTTTCTGCCGTAAAACCGTGAGTCACAGTGATTAGTGTTGACATAAGGACAGTAGGCCTCCAGACATCATCTGCTGTGTCATATCAAGAGGTAGGGCATGTTATGAGTGCTACAGCACCCCCAGAGTGACCACATTGGTGGAAGCCATGATCAACGGTGTGCACACATGTTTGTAGGTTTATCCATCTGGGCTGTTCACCTTCTCTCAATCATGTGGTCAAAATATATAAAAGGCTTTTTTGGGGAAGGTTTTCTTTGTATTACTACATGTATCTGTACATTTAGGTTTATTATACCTTCTAATCCATCAATTTTATATAGTCAAGGGCAACCCTTCCCCCAGAGCAGTAGTTTTTAGCTCATTTACACCATCAGTGACACTGACTGTCAGATAGGCCTCCCCATGTTGGTCTTTTCCTCACAAATATGGAGCAAACGTCAACAAACAGTACAATATGTTTGTTAGATTCATTAAAAAAGATGCTGCATCTGTAAAAAGACTATGACAGTGATGGGTATTACATGAAAACTACACGTAGTCCTTTAATTTCTCATTTTAAACTGGCTGGGCTTGAAGCTTTGAGCAGCACACATAGAAATTTTCCAAATGTTGATATCTGTAAATGCACGTTAGACATTTTAGGTTTCCTAAAATAAAAAAAATACAATTAGACCAGATCTGTATTTACAACTAGCACAACAMAAGAAAGAAACAACAATCTAGTTTTGTTTTCTAATTTAGTCCTTCCTAACATAAAAAAACAGGCAGGAG